TGCTGAGTGCACTTTGACAAAAGAAACAGAGGATCTTTAGAAGAAAGAAGACCAAACGATTACGGTAACTCGCGCCACAATTGTAAGTGAATCACACACAGAATACTACTGCGATAGTAATATAAGAGATAGTTCGGCTTGTCAACTGAAATTCTAAAGTAATTGAATAGGCCTAAGTGGACTTTTGACAAGAAGAAGAGAACTATATATATATATAGTGGCTATGGTATGCCTGTAATCTCTGTAGTGTGAAGACTTTGTTGTGCATACGTTTAACTTGTTCCGAATATATATATATATATATTATTTGAAAACAAGTAAAGTGTGTGCTGTTTATTCATCGTTGAGTTTATCGCTAACAAATCATAGACACCTACTGTAGAAGAATCCTAAGCCCAAGAATAACACAGTATATATATTTATGCTATTAGTATAAGTAAAAGCCTTTTTATTTTGACAATTGGCGAGGATAAGAATTCGAGTATTTTTATATAGAATTGATCTCCTAATATTTATTAATCACAAAGTAAATACTTTGTTCACATTGTCATTTTCACATTCATTCAGTTCTAGCTCTTTCCTCCCACAAACGTTTCTATGAAACGTGGTAACCTTAATAATGAATTTGTTTTAGATGAAAAAGCCATACTAGTTAAATAAATACTGGTAACATGTTAAAAAGAGAGGTAGAAAAACGTTGTTAGAAACTATGACCAAAGGTATTTCATATTTCTTTGAGAATTTCGCTACGAGTGATATTTCGTAAATGCACACATGTGAAAACATAAATGTGACTTTTAGTTATTCAAAAATACACTTTTACCTGAAACATCCAGAAATTCTGTGTAAACAGTTATATATAAATACGATATAAGCAAAACTTCCCTGTCATTTGAATCGATGTAGAGCAATGTCAATATTGGGTCAGGAATCTGATATAAGCAGCTCTAGGAATCTTCTGGAAAACCTCTCTAAGTACATTTTGTTAGAGCAATGTCAATATTGGGTCAGGAATCTGAGATAAGCAGCTCTAGGAATCTTTGGAAAACCTCTCTAAGTACATTTTGTTAGAGCAATGTCAATATTGGGTCAGGAATCTGAGATAAGCAGATCTAGGAATCTTCTGGAAAACCTTTCTAAGTACATTTTGTTTTGGGCTTGACTGTAAGTAGAACTTCACACGTTAAAGTGGTGGAATGGACTAAAGGATTATTAGTACTGATTACCCTATTGATCAACGAACGCCACGCGAGAATGTAAAATGAAGTTCATTATTAGTCCAGAGCATGTCTACAAAGAGATACACTTGAATTACGAGTGGACTTCACATTTTTCTATTTATAACAATACAACATACAGCCTCACATAAGGTTAATTGATAGTTAGAAAAATCATTCTTCATCCATTTTATATGTGACGATGTACCCTAGCGAACAATGCTGCATGATATATGTATGTTTATATGAACAATACAACATTCGATTTTTTTTGGCTAACGTAATATATATAATAACGTTAATTTTTATTATACCGTCAAGTTAATTAATTATTAGACAATAAATCTTACATTTTAACCAAGGGAGGACGTGAGACAGAGTATTAAGTAATTAAAACGTATGTAACTTTAATGATTTATTGTCGATGATACAGTATTTCATTTCATCCATCTATTGTGGATGTCTAGAAATAATTTTTCAAGCTCTTAGTGTGGTTGTTCTGAAACCCTCCTAACAACTACAAAAGTTGGTAATGCATAATGTGCTTCCATGAAGAATACTATATTTTTTCCTTTTACAAAGTCATTAAACATATAGAAAAGCCCACAGCGGCACAGCGGTATGTCTGCGGACTTACAACGCTAGAATCCGGGTTTAGATACCCGTCGTGGGCAGAGCACAGATAGCCCATTGTGTAGCTTTATGCTTAATTAAAAACAAACAAACATATAGAACACAATCGATAAGAAAATACTTATGTGCATTTCTTTTAGAAGCACATAAAAACTGAATTTTGTTTTTTACACACAAATTAAAACAAAAAATGAAAACTTAAACAAGTCACCGTTATATTTATGTTGAAATTTTATAAAGTCGTGTATATTTGATGCAAAAAATGGAAAAAACACGCATAACAATAAATTTATATATTGTGTAAGAGAATGAGACCAACTAAAAAGAATAAGCTAAAAAAATAAATATATGTAACTCACTGACATCACCCACTAACATATTTAAAGAATAAACTTACACTTGTTTGAAATTTACTTTTGGGCTATGCCTAAAATGAAATAACACACACATAGAGCGAATATCGTTAACAAAATTTCACTTTTAATGTGAAGTTCAATTTCATTTCACCATGTAAGGACTTTTAGAAACGGGAATGAAGACAATCAGTGGCTCACCATTTCCTTCTTGGAACAAGTTTTATCACGACTTGTGTTTCATATACACAAGGATATCTAGGTATTGCAGTGCTTATGAATGGTTACTTATCTTGGAACAAGTTTTATCACGACTTGTGTTTCAAATACACAAGGATGTTTAGGTATCGCAGAGCTTATGAAAGGTTACTTATCTTGGAACAAGTTTTATCACGACTTGTGTTTCAAATACACAAGGATGTTTAGGTATCGCAGTGCTTATGAAAGGTTACTTATCTTGGAACAAGTTTTATCACGACTTGTGTTTCAAATACACGAGGATGTCTAGGTATTGCAGTGCTTATGAAAGGTTACTTATCTTGGAACAAGTTTTATCACGAGTTTGCTTCAAATACACAATAATATCTAGATGTCACAGTATACATTTACGAATGGTTACTTAAATAGCAGTTTGCTGGTGATGTTGGAATTGACATAAAAGGGGAATACGACATAAAACCTATCACATTTGTTTTCCTTCTTCTGGCTGTTTATACGAACGTCAGGCTCTCACAAATTCTCTTTCCATAAGTCATATCCGGTGCGAGGGCCTTCCCATAGGTCATATCCGGTACGAATGCGGCTTGATTCGAGAAGCTCCGAGAGACAAAATAGCACATAGAAACAGCATTGTGACACCAGCACCCATCAAATAAAACGACCATGATAACTGACAAGCTCCTGGAAGTAAATGAATAAGCAGAATACATCAGAAATACATGTTTAGGTATAAGTATATATTTTTCTGAAACGATATTATGTTTTATTACGTATGTTAAAAGGTTTAACAAAACATTTGATTGTAGTTATGCTTTTCAGGAAGTAGCCATAGAATTTAGGGTAGGGGATCTTCTCTCCAATGTATTCAATGCCCTTTTCATTTTTTTAGGTAATCATAGTAAGAATTCAATAGAATGAAAATTTCTCCTCTTCCTGGGCCGAGCGCGGCTCGGTGGTAAGCGTGCCGAACTATGGATCCCTACTTTGGGGCTGTGGGTGTGTTATAAGAGAGACAGTCAAACCCAACTATTTGATTAGAGTAGCCCATGAGTTGGCGGTGATATTAAGTAACTGTCTTCTTTCTAGACGACTAGCACAAACGAATCTTTTTTTTTCATTTTAATGATAGATTATTTATGTTTGATTGTTCTTTCATTTTTTTTTTTACTGTTTCAGTTTCCTGATGTTAAATGTTAATAACTTCCAGGGCCGCCTAATGTCATCATGGATCTGGGAAAGAATTGGTGTGTGTCCCCACCTCTGAATAAGTTTTGGAATAATGCTACGTACACGCATAAGTGGTTGAAAGTGAGGATAAAGTTTGTGTAAACGTTTTGTTCTGATTTAATACATTCTTTACACTTTTTTTGCTACTCTTATGAGCTTCAGGATATACCCTAAGCCTCTCCGCCCCCCGGTGGGTCTAGTCACCTTTATATTTATTTGGTTTCTTTCTAAAATGCAAGAAGAAAACAAGAGATTTTAACCGTGTTTTAGCAGGATTTCTTTATTTATCGTATTGAATTTTTCTCTGAAATAATCAAGTCTTAGTTCATTCTTCAATCATTAATAATTAAAATTAATGTATCGTAGATTTATAAGCTTAATAACCTTTTTTTTAATGTTTTCTGGTAACCGGAGGATGAACTCGTAAAAACCTAGCTTTGTTGATTGTGTAAGGTGAGGTTCCGCAGAGATTTAGTTTGGAACCTTTGATGTCAATTGTTCGATCAACAAAATCAACGAGCAAGTGTTATCTAAAACGTTTGAATTATACTTAAACGTTGATCAATTGGTTCAAGGTTTAGAAATGAAGATAAACCTTTTGTAGAATGCTTTCTTATTTCTTGTTCAGAGGTCTAGAATTATGAAATGAATTATAATTACTAACATTTTGTGTGTGTATTGTTTTCCCAGTAAAAAAAAAGAGTATATATATATATATATATATATAATTAATGTTTCACTTTGGAATAGAAACCGAAGTTTTTATCGGTTCTAAAACTATGTTGAGCTTTATATTTTTAGAATGGGTTAAATGGCAATATAACGTTTTATAGTAAAGGTTGTTTAATTATTTCGCTCAGCTTTATAACTATACTATGTTCACTTTCTAATATTCTTGTTTACTATAGTTCTATGATTTATAAGTTTTAGTTACCCAACCCAACAAACACCAGCTTTTCTTTATGATGTTAAACTGACACTTGTCTGATGACAGAAACCTAATGTTAGATATTAGGGGTCAAGAAGAAACAAATCCCATGTAAAAGTATAGATTAGGACTCGGAGATCAATTAAACGGGTCAACTTTTGCGGGCGAATGCATCATGTTTCCGCCACGCAATCCCAACATGGCCAATTCTGACACCATAAAAAATCGTGAAAAATACAGAAAAATTGAAAACTGTTCATATCACTGTTTGGGATCTGCAAGAAGTTATCTTTGTATCAGTTCCCATGTAAAGTTGGTTTACATACACATGAATAGTTCACGAAAATCCAAAGTTTGAGCAAAAGACAAAAAATCCTAAATTGTGTATATTTCTGTTTGATATCTGTACAAAAATATCTTTGTACCAAATCACATACAAATTGCTCAAAATACGGCCGAATACTTGACCAAAATTATGCTTTTTTGTGAGCTTTGCCCCCTTAGAAAGACTCAAAATGGGCACATCCAATTTTTTTTTATATGTCAATGTGTTGGGCGTATGAAAATGTATATTTGTGCCAATTTTCATCTTGATTGCTGTAAATATGAATGTACAGGAGCCTAAAATATACATTTTTGGATTGGTTGACCTTTGACCCCATAAAAGCCTTAAAAAGGCTTAAATAAAGAATGAAAAACGAGTCTGCGTGTATTTGGCAAAGGTATACCCCTACCATGTTTGAACTCAATCCGCTTAGAAATGAAGAATGGACATGAGTATTTGTTGTATCATGGATCAAAACGAATTTAAACTGAAGAAATAGTTTACTCTATGTTAATGAAAACAAGAGTAGAGATTTTATCGTAAAATATTGAAAGCACATAGTTTAAATAGACTATGTGTCTTTTTCATAAAAGAAAGCGAAAATCCCTAAGTATTAAAGCTAATTAAAGTCGAATCTTATAGAGTTTAACAAGATTAATAATAATGTTTAAAACTAGTATTTGTAATGAACTGAAATTAAATAAATTACGGATGCACACACTAAACAAAACAAAATTGACAGAATCAATTACAATAACCAGAAAAGCGAATGCATGGATGAAGTATTTCGTATTTCTGCTTTTATCATTTATTATATTTAATGTATTTAAACTTTTTATATATACACCTGGAAAAAAGTTAAGCACCCCCAAATATTTTTCAGGATTGCTTATTGAAAATAACGTTTAACTTTCATGATGTTGAGCAATGTT